CTGTGAGAACTGTTACTGTTTTTGTATTGGTATGTAGTATTGGTGGGCTGGAGCGATAGCACAGTGGTAAGGCATTTGCCTTGCATGTTGCCAGCCCAGCCAACCCGGGTTCGATTCCTCCGCCCCTCTCGGAGAGCCTGGCAAGCTACTGGGAGTATCTTGCCTGCACAGGAAGGCCTGGAAAGCTCCCCATGACATATTCAATATGCCAAACACAGTAACAAGAAGTCTCACAATGGAGACGTTACTGGGCCCGCTCGAGCAAATCGATGAACAAGGGGAGGACAGTGCTACAGTGCTATATAGTATTGTATATAGTAAAATACACTAGACTCTCTCTCACCCTCCCTTCCTCTCTCTACTGTCCTCTCTTTTTTACCCCCAGAAAAAAATTGTACCTCTATTCCCTTGTGTCACTGGCTTCCAGCTGGAGTGACTATACCTCTTAAACATGTTTGTCAGACCACGTGGGGAGCTGCTACCAGCACCAAGGGGCAGAGACCAGCAATGCAGCTAAATGTTCCTTACTGCCCAGGACAACCTCCAAGAGTAAAGAATCAGCTGGCTCCAAATATCACTAAAGCCAGAGTTTGAGAACCCCCAGGAATGTTATAAAAACAAAAAAGTGAAACTCTAGAAAAAGTGGTACAACCGCTTTAGACTATCAGGAAGGGGTTTTATGGTACATTAGTCAGGTAGAATTTTGAAACACTCTCAAATTTAAACTTGTACTAGCAGATAAAGGTACACAATCAACTCTAGAATATAGTTTTCCCCTCTATGTTCATGGACAATTTTTTAAGCTTCTCAACACTCGATATTATAAAATTTAACAGTGAAAATTAATTTCCCTCTGTTTTAAAAAATATTCCATGCAAATTATACTGTTCTTCCTTTAAGTGGACAGTGTAGCACAGGTTTTGATGCCTAGGTGCTCAGGAGCCGAGTCAACAGAACCACATGTCTAAATGTTGGCCAGAGAGAACAAAAGTTGCTCCCCTGCGGGGTCGGTAAGTCCTCCAGGTGGCCTGAGCCAAAACCTCGAATCCCTCCTCAGGGCGCTGAGAGGCTCTACAGATACTGGGGTCTTTCCTTTCCTGTCCTGTACAGCAGGCAGCAGGAGACCCCAATACTCAGGTCACAAAGAAGTTAGAAACCCCCCACAAATTCTCATCCTTTAGACCTTCCCAATAACCCAAGCGGGGTCACCAAGCAATAGCAGCGAGTTTTTTTTCCTTTTTTATCCATGGAAAAAGTATCATAGGCTAAGAAAAATTAAGAATTTGGACAGAAATCTAATAAAGGAAAATCTAATAATGGAAGCAGTCTGACTACGGAGTCTGTCTCAGGAGTGCATAGCCCTGCTCTCCCGGTCAGGTCGGGGAGGCTGTCTGGTGGGGCTGAGTCACTGCAGGTCTGCAGGAAGAGTGAAGAGTCTAGGCTGTGCCCTTAAAGCAAATCTAGAAACACATGCGGAGGCTCTGGTCTAGCCCTCAACAGGACTAAGGAGCCTACAGTTAAGAATCCAAATGTAGGGGCTGGAGTGATAGCACAGCGGGTAGGGCATTTGCCATACACATGGCCGAGCCGACCCAGGTTCGATTTCCAGCATCCCATATGGTCCCCTGAGCACCACCAGGAGTAATTACTGAGCGCAGAGCCAGGAGTTACCCCTGTGCATCGCTGGGTGTGACCCAAAAAGAAAAAAATATCCAATATATGTCTATTCTTATTTGGTACACGAGTACTTGTTATTTAAAAAAATCTCTTTATACTTTTAAAAATGTCTGGAATGTAATCATTTAAGACAGCTAAAATAAATGAAAAGATTTCAGGAACATTATCTGTGAGGTGAAGGCACTACGCTCATGCTTAAATCTAAATGCAGTAACAACACTCAGTGACATGGTAAGATGTTACATTGGCAAAACCAAGACATTAAAAGTGGAGGGATGGGTACTCGATCATTGCATAACTGAAACCCAAGCACAAAAATTTGTAAGTCTGCAACTGTACCTCATGGTGTTTCGCTAATAAAAATTAAAACAAAAAAAGTTGGTGTTCAATACCACTTGCTCTGATCAAATGCAGATTGCTGTCGTTGGCCCGAAAGCCATCCACCTGCATAAAATGGAAAACTCAGGAGAAAAGGATTTTCAGATGCAGTAAGGAACTCCTCACAGAAAACCCGGTTGGAAAAGGAAAGCAGCACATGTAATAATTTAATGTAACAGGCATATTTAGAAAAAAATAACAGAAGCATGTGTAATTAATATGTAAAATCAATTACGGGAGAGAATCTCTGTTTTCCTAATAAATGTTAGAGCTTAAAAGGCTTTCAAATGAGTCTGAACTTTTCTCTCAGGTCTTCCTTCTCCTCCTCTTTTTCATCTATCTTGCGTATCTCGTATCAAATGTTCACAGCAGTTATCCAATTGTCCAGCACGTGCAAAGCCCTGCACAACATGCCTGGGTATTCAAAAGGACAGGACTGGGCACAGCCCCCTTCAAGCGGCTCATCCTATCGTCACCTGGCAGTAATGCAGATATATTTTTTCCAAATTATGGAGTAAGTACTTCCTAGTATCCTCCCAAATCTTTAAAACCAAGGAGGACACTGTATTTTTGTTGAAGTGCCAACTACGATTTCTCAGGCTAAGGCTGAAGCTTCCTGAGAGTGAATGATGAAACTTGAGTCCAGATGGCTCCTCCTGGGGGACCGGCCTTTCTGGCCGCCCAGGGGGACGCTATTATTCTCAGGTTCTTCTCACTGATGCCTGCAGTCCTTCTCCAAGACTCACTGGATTCTTTGTCCTCTTTGGTGCCACCAGTGTTCCCAGAATGACATCCACGAGGTAGATGAAGATGATCAGAGTCACATGGAGGGCCCTTTAGGACAGAGGACAGGGCCAGCTTCAGGGGTGGGTGGGCCCAGAGAATTGGCATTTCTAACAGGCGCCCAGATGATGTCCCTGCTGCAGGCACAGGGCCTCCTCCCCAGATCATTCCCGAAGCTTCCACAGGGCTGTGAGCTCCCCAAGGCCTGGGAGCAACTCTCCTGCTTCCACATTGCACGTGCTCCGTCCAGGGCCAGGGCCAGCAGTAATGGGCAGCAGGGACGTGTGGAACTTCCAAATTTTCCAGGCACCGGGTTCAACAGTTTAAACATTTTATGCATATATGTGTATAGACCTTTTTTTCCTAAAACTACACAGCAGAGTTTGAATAGTGCTGACATGTGACCAGTTGTCCAGAGGGGAAAATGTAACTGTTATGACCATTTTAACACTGTTGACATGGAAATAAAGACTTTTTTAGAATTTTCCCCACTTGCATATTTCTCTTCTTATATCCTCTGCCCTCCCCAACAATCTGCAATTTAATATATAAATCTAAATCCTGGCAACAGTTTGAGGAAAAGGGTATTCCAGAATAGCTGACTTATTTAGAAAATATTTAATGTAACAGGCATATTTAGAAAAAAATAACAGAATCATGTGTAATTAATATGTAAAATCAATTATGGGAGAGAATCTCTGTTGTCCTAATAAATGTTAGAGCTTAAAAGGCTTTCAAATGAGTCTGAACTTTTCTCTCAGGTCTTCCTTCTCCTCCTCTTTTTCATCTATCTTGCATATCTCGTATCAAATGTTCACAGCAGTTATCCAATTGTCCAGCAGATGGAAAGCAGAAGCAAGGCCTGTGGCCCACATTAGATGGTTCCATGTGCAGTTCTGGGACACCCTGTGAGGCTTCTTGGAGACTCTGTAAAGCCATGGGAAGGCAGGGGCCAGCATCAGAAACCAACGGGTCTCTCCTCTGAGAAGGGCGAGAGACAGGGTGGATTCCTACCCCAGATCTCCAACTCCCTCCCCAAGTCAGAGAAAGAAGAAACATAGACCTTTATCTCTGGAACCATTTTCTGAAAGTATCTCAATGTGTGAAAATAATGAGTGGCCTCATGAGGAGTCATTTGGGTGTGACTGAAATGACCGTACTTTCGAGATTTTCAGCGGTCTTATGATTTGCAAACGTTTCTAAAAAGCCTTCCAGTCAAAACCATTATATGAAAGGAACATGGGGAGCATTTTTTGGGTTTGTTTTTTTTAGGTCATACTCAGAGATGCTCAGGGCTTACTCTTGGCTCTGCACTCAGGAATGACTCCTGGCAGTGCTCGGGGGACAAGATGGGATACCGGGAATCAAACCTGGGTCAGCTGTAAGCTAGGAAAGCACCCAACTTGCTGTACTATCACTCGGGCCCATGCACTTGTGAATGAAATTTTTAAAAGGCTAGTTTTAAATACGTCTTCTTTGTTAATATAGCCAAATTTGAGGCCCATTGTTTGTGATATCAAATAATACTGTCTCCGAATAATATTCTCTTCCTATGGATACTCCAAATTAGTACTATAACACCGTAGGCAGTCAGTCATTTCTACACATCTGCACTGCGCTGCACTGTTGTCCCGTTGTTCATCGATTTCCTCGAGCAAAAGATATTTATTTTGCTTTTTGGGTCACACCCGGAAGTGCACAGGGGTAACTCCTGGCTTTGAACTCAGGAATTACTCCTGGCAGTGCTCAGGGGACCATATGGGATGCTGGGAATCGAATCCGGGTGGGCCACGTGCAAGGCAAACGTCCTACCCACTGTGCTATCGTTCCAGCCCCTACACATCAAAAGATTTAAAAAAAATTAACAACTATTTCAAAGAGATTTTTAAGATAGAAAGCGTGCTCCCAGCATCATTTTTATGGTTTACTATTAACTAGCTAAATTCTGATTATTAGAAAGCTTTGGGTATAATGTGAATTTTTGGTGAACTGTATACTTGCTCTAAAAATTGGCCAGTTTATCATTTGATTCCCTGCAGCATTTTCCATCCCTCTCCTAATCTCTTAAAAGGTAAATAACTACTGGCTGAGAGCTGACCTCCAGTCAACTTTTATCAAAATGGTTAATATAAAGCTAAGACAAGCAGAAATCAATTCCAGTGGACAATTAAATGGGTCTCATTAAATAACACCTCATTTAGTGTAATAAAAGAACACGGTACTATTTTCTGGAAGACATAAATAAATCTAAAATAAAAATACTTTCATTAACATCATTCATATGCTAACAATAAATTAACGTTCTTAAATTTCTTGTCGACTATTCACAACATCCATCCTTTCTTGTGAGTTCACAAGGCTGCATCTTAAAAGTGCAATAAAATCCTTGAGGCCTTCAATGCCATTAAAACAGGACTTCTTAGTGGTTTCCAAGACACAGCTTCTTGTATTGGTGCTGTTCTTCATCCAGAAGTATGGGTCTTAACACACCATCTATGTTCAAGAAGAATGATACGTCAGGGAAACTTGACTTAAAACATTATGGGTACTTGTTTGGTCCATAACCTACTTTCAGCACACATCTCCTACCGGGGCCGATTCCTCTCAGTATCTGTATTGTAAACCATAATGCCCAAAAGTAGAGAGAGAGAGTATGGGGAATATTGTCTGCCATGGAGGCAGGGGGAGGGTGGGGAAGGGGGATATACTGGGGAGACTGGTGGTGGGGAATGTGCACTGGTGGGGGGTCGGGTGTTTGATCATTGTGTGATTGTAACCCAAACATGAAAGCTTGTAATTATCTCATAGTGATTCAACAAAATTAAAACAAACAAATAAACAAACAAACATATGGGTACTTGATAAAGTCATTCAAATGATAAGGTCAAAATAATGCTATGGTAAAAAGGAACTTTCATTTCATTTGATCCTAAAATTCTCAACTGTTGGAGAAGAGATTCTAGACAACTCAGGAAATAAAGGATCTCACCTTTAGAAAACTAAATTCGAGAGCTAGAGAGAGAATACAGGAGGGAGGACATTTGCCTTGCATGTGGTCCATGAGGCTTGATCTGAGCACCCCAAAAGGTTCCCTGAGCCCCACAGGGAATGATCCCAGAGCGCAGAACCAGAAGTAAGCCCTAAGCACCCCTGAGTGTGACCAGAAAACAGAAAGAAAAGGAAGAAAGGGAAGGGAAGGAGGGAGGGATGGAGGGAGGGAGGGAGGAATTCTCAGACTAGAGAAGGAACCTTTTTGAAATACACAGAAGCATGCTGGAGCGATAGATAGCACAGCAGGTAGGGTGTTTGCCTTGCACGTGGCCAACACTGCCAACCGGGAGTTCAATTCCTCTGCCCCTCTCGGAGAGCCCGGGCAAGCTACCGAGAGTATCTCGCCCGCACAGCAAAGCCTGGCAAGCTACCCATGATGTATTCGATATGCCAAACACAGTAACAAGTCTCACAATGTTCCTCGGCCTGCTCGAGCAAACCGATGAACAATGGGAGGACAGTGACAGTGACAGTGACAGAAGCATGCAGTTCCTGGGAAACCATCACGGAAAACTAACTCACCAGAAGCCATCCTGCCTGACCTAACTGCCCTGGGGGGAAGGGAAACACCCAATCCCAGCTCACCAGCGATACCCTGCTCCAGGAAAGAGGAAAAGAGCAAAACAAAAACCACATTCCATTGGGTGTCTGGAAGAACAGACAGGTTGCCGCTCCCGGCCTCACGTTCCCCACAGAGGACGGAGTCTCAGTCTCCTTTTAACACAAACCCTGCGTACAACCTTTTGCTAATCATAGGTGGAATATTTCCGCTAATTCCATGACCTGCCTTTGTACTCTTTTAATGCTATCTTGTGTTAAAAAGCCTTAATTTTAACACAGTTAAAATTAAAATTTATTAATATTAATTCATCCTGTAATAGTGCTTCTTCTGTTCTTTTGCTAACAACAGAGGATTGTTAATTGAGCTTCCTCAAACATTGTTACATTCTTTAATCAGACACACTTTTTTTTTTTCTTTCTTTTTTCTCCTCTGATAATTTTTTTTTCTGGCGGGATACACCTGAAAGTGCCACAGTAGGGACCTGGGCCCTGCATAGAAGGCCCGGCTCCAGCTCTCCGCATCTCCATCTGGTAGTTGTTTTTTTTTTTCTTTTTTTTTTTTGGGGGGGGGGGATCACATGTGGCAATGCACAGGGGTTACTCCTAGCACATGCACTCAGGAATCACTCCTGGCAGTGCTCGGGGGACCATATAGGATGCTGGGAATCGAACCTGGGTCGGGCGTGTGCAAGGCAAATGCCCTATCACTCCAGCCCCATCTGGTAGTTTTTTACAAAGAAAGATGGAGTAAATCCTTTTTTTTTCAAGTTGAAGATAAATGATTTATTATTTAAATAAAAATAAAGTTAATTCAGAACACAAAAATCAAGATAATTACAAAGAAGTTATTTTCATAAAGAACTTCATATTTCTTGACTTTTTAAAGTAAATAAAATAAAAACCTTTTAGTCTTTATACTAAGCTTCCATTTACCTATAATCTAAACAGAAAAATACTTTAAAATAACATAGATAATACTTTAAAATAACATGGTAGGGGCAGAGAGAGAGTATAGGAGTTAAGGTATGAGCCTTGCATGAGGTTAACCCCGTTTCATTCTTCAGCACTACATGGACCTCAAGCGCCACCAGTCCAGCCCTGGAGTACCCCAAGCAGGACGAGGGTGGCCCATAGAACCTGGCACCACCGGACCTGAGCACCCTCATACTGAAGCACCAGCTGGTTAGCAGAGAATTGCTGAGAGGGGCTGCCAAGCTTCTGGGGGGGAGGGGAAGGAGGAAGCAGGGAGGAGAAGGAGGAGGAGGAGGAGGAGGAAATGGTAGAGGAGGAGGAGAAGGAGGAGGAGGAGGAGGAAGAAATGGTAGAGGAGGAGGAGGATGATAAACAAAATAATACAGTGTAGAAATAACTATTGTTATTTTCTTAGAATTTCATAGACTGTAGAAATAACTATTGTTATTTCTTAGAATTTCATAGAATTGTTCACAATTGTATGCCTAAGGCATTATACGATCTTTCAAATAGCATTAATGTATGTTACTATGCCAGTGATAAGGTAAAGGTAAAGGTAAAGGCCCTCCCGTTGTTCATCGATTTGCTCGAGCGGGCCCAGTAACGTCTCCATCGTGAGACTTGTTGTTACTGTGTCTGGCATATCGAATACGTCACGGGTAGCTTGCCAGGCTCTGCCGTGCGGGCGAGATACTCTCAGTAGCTTGCCGGGCTCTCCGAGAGGGGCGGAGGAATCGAACTCGGGTCGGCCATGTTGGCTGCGTGCAAGGTAAACGCCCCTCCGCTGTGCAGTGATAGTATAGTGGGTAGGGTTCTTGCCTTGCAAGCAGCTGACCTGAATTCCTGGGTTCAATCCCCCGAGCCCTGCCAGAAGGGATCCCAGAGAACAGAGCCAGGAGTAAGCTCTGTGCATTGCTGGGTGTGGCCCCAAAACCAAAAACCAAAACCAAAACCAAACCAAGAACCCCCAAACTAGTAACTCATCTACAGGGCTTTTTTTTTCTTTTTTTGCTCTTTTTGGGGGAGATGGAAAGATCTAGCTACGCTCAGGTGCCTCAGGGTCACTGCCGGCAATACTGCCTGTGGTGTGGCCTGATGCTTTGGTGGTCAGTCCCAGCGGTCCCACGATCCACAGCCGGAGGTAATCAGGGTCCCTGCCGTATCCTGGATGGACCTTAGGGCCTTGGGCACGCATGCATGTGCTCCAGCACTTCAAGGCATCTCAGCAGCCTCTTGTGCTGATAGTTATTATTCCAATAACCAGATCATTTTCTGTGGAATCTGAGTGAGGCATAAGTCTAATAAGAATGGATATATCTTCATAATTTGGTCTTATGTGCTTAGGAATTATACATAATTTTTCTAACTGCCCAATAAGCTTTGGTTTTGTTAGTGAGAGGCACTGTTGCTTGCTATTTCATACAATTGGTTTACAAATTCAACTTGGATATGATTATGTAAAATTCTATAGGGCTCATTAACAACCAGCACTTTCTACTGGACCCAGCATACGGCAGACCCACAAATGTTTGCCGAAAAAAGGGAAGGCGAAAACCTAACTTACGAAAATAATATGCTCTAGGTATGGTCAAAACAATTCTCAACACTGATTATTAAAATTTACATGTATATTTTCTTCTCTTTTCTTCTTAACGGCACAAAAGTCAACCTCTGTAGAAGACTTGTAATACTTACTCTCTTTGCTTTCAGGCTGATTTTGTTCAGGGGAACCCGTTTCTGATGGATTCATCTGCCACTGTAAAACGGCACAAACATTTTATTTATATTTTTAACAAGGCCCAAATAAACAGCAATCCCAGCAGTACTCAGGGATTCCTCCTGGCTCTGTGCTCAGGTATCACTCCTGACGATGCTTGGGGAACACAGGGGATGCTGGGATAGACCCAGGTTGGCTGCGTTTTATTAAGTACCTTACCTGCTGTACTATCTCTCCAGCCCCTGTGTAAGCTTTTTAAATACCTAAATATAAGAAAGTAAAAAAAGTAACGATTCTGAGTTTTAACTATTGAGGCACTTTTTAAAGGAAATATTGAATTTCTTAATTTTTTTTTTCTGATGTTTCACATGAGAAATGTATGGCATGCATGCATGCATGTAAATATGTGTGTCCCAGACATGTGACTAATCTTAAGCTATTTTATCTTTTTTGCTACTCCAAACTGGACGTTTCAGATCTAGAACAAGGAGGAGTCATTTGGTACTTTTAAAGCTAGGTGTTTCCCATCTTGGCCAAAATTTGGGTCTGGATTTTCTTCTGTTAGCCACCAGATGTCACCCAAGAGCCCACAAATTAAGATCTTTAAGGTTTGCATGATTCTAGTAGAACCGCAAATTTATAAGGCAGAGTTTCTAAATTAAACAATTGTAATTAGGTAAGTGGTTACACATAAAAATAAAGTCAGTGATGTGTTTTCATAAATTCTCTGGAAATGTGGGGGTCACTAACATAATATGCAGCACATAAAATGACAATAAAATAGTATACTTGGGGAAAATGTGTATCTACTTACTGTAAATTTGCCGACACCCTCCAGGTCCCCGAATCTCATGTATGAGATGTCTGCCTTCTTCTTCCCCACATCCACGTCCCCTGCATAGATCTGTTTAATGCCGGCACCTTTGATCAAAGGCACACACTCATCACATGGGCACTTGGTCACAAAAATCATACTTTTTTCTTCTGGTTTAATTTCTTGACACCTACAGAAGTGCATAAAATACCAGGAATGTATTTTGCAAAAGGATGAGATAGTTTAGATAAATCTTTAAATGCTAAAAAATTCAGCTGCTTAAAAAGTTAACATTATAGACAATAATGATAACCTTTATTCTTGCTGAATTAGTGAACACTAAAACTATATAAACATTTAGAATGTTAAAATATAACCTGAACATGACAGTGAACTCAAATAAGATTCACTTAATTATTTTAAACCATTTGGCAATATGTTCAATTTATTAGTTATAAAGTAAATGAAAAGAAAGAAAAGAGAGAGAAACCACTGTGTTGTAAGCAAGAATGAACCTCTTCATAATGCTTGAATGGCAGGGGCAGAATGAATAACCTCTTGAAGAATTTACCTGGCATTAGATACTTATTTAAGGTAGCCCAAAGACCTCCTGCTTATCTGATGCCTGACAGATAGTTAATAAAAAACATGCTAAATTGAAAAATTAAAATTAAAGTGCAGTTTTGAATTACTGTTCCACTAGTCCCACTCTAAGACAGGACAGTTTTATATAACAGATGGTTGGATAGTCTCGGACTAAAGAAACCTCTCATCTGTAGGTCTCAGGGCAATATTCCCAAGTTTTCCATTTTGCACTCCTCTACCAGATGGTTGATCCTAGTACCAGCCTCCCTTCTATCTACCCAGATCACACAGTCAATCTGTTTGTCTGGACCAGAGAAACAATTTTATTTTCCTCCAAGTGTGTCCAACACCACAGCGGAAGCCACAGTAATGGGCATGTGCCAATGAAATCAAGTCCAAACCCAGAGTTATTCTCTGGCTGAACCTTTTCCCCCGGGCTCCACATCCCCGAGTCTCCGGGACACTGATCTTCCACACACAGCGCATTTGCTGACTTGACTGTCTCCAGGCCTAAGCCAAGGGTGTCCTCCTTTCATGAAAGCATGACCAACTACAAAGCTCAATTCAGTTCCTAAAGGAAACTTTCTCTCCCACCCTGTCCCTCGCCCCATGCTGCCGGAGTTTTCACATTGCTCTGTGAAGTCTCCCCCCAGCCCCCCCACCCCACCCCAGAACTGTGCATATCAGGTTGAATACTTAGTTTTGGATACTACCAGACAAAGATTTATGGAAATGATTAGGAGGAGGTTATATGGGTTATATTATCTAACAAAAACTATGTTAAAGCTATCTGACTCATAATACTATCTATATTTTCATAAATTCATGTATCTATATAAATTTAAATATTACATCTGTATTAAGATCCTAAAGACAAACTTCAAGCACCTTTATATTGGAAAGAGAAGAAGGAAAGGGTTATTTATATAGATTGAAAGACAGATATAGATATAGATATAAAATACTTGTTCAATATGTTTAAAGGCCAGAAGAACCACTTGGTTCTTGGGTCTAAAAGCTTCTGAATGGATTTGGAACTTTTAATAAAGGGAAGTAAATTACAGCTTAAAGAAAAATCAATTTAACCAATCTTTTGCTACGTTTTGAAGAAACTACACGCGGATACACTTCTTACCTAAATGTCAAAGCATTCTGTTCTGCATGGATAATGTATCTGAATTTCCTTATCTCTCTGTCTTTCTGTTTGTCATCCATGTGTGGGAAGTCAGCATACTCAGACCCAACAGGAAATGCATTATAGCCGCATCCAATGAAATACATGGCGCCTGTCCCATCACAACTCCGCTGCAACAGGGAACAAACCATGAAAGCTTAGTTTTCAGCACTCTGAAGAAGCACCTGCAAAGTATTTTCTTTCTATATACCGTATCAAACTTTGTATAACAAACTCAGATTTCTATGATAGACTGAGCCATCAAAAACCACAATATTATAGGCCAGAGCAATAGAGTGCTGACATTGCTCTGGGTTCAATCCCCATATGGTCTCCTGAGCATCACCAGAAGTGATTCCTGAGCGCAGAGTCAGGAGTAATTCCTGAGCATCGTCAGGTGTGGCCCCAAAACAAACAAACAAAAAAAACCCTACCACAAAATTACACTCTCCTTATGTGGCATCTTGTCAAAGCTAAATTTCTTTCTTTTTTTTTTTTTTTTATTAGTGAAGCACCATGAGGTACAGTTGTAGATTTACAAATCTTTGTGCTTGGGGCTAATTTCAACAAAGCTGATTATCTTACCACATAATCTCAAGGCAGTCTTTTTGTTTTAGCAAATCAAATACCAGCTTAATTTACAAATTGTTTCACTTGATTCGGAATCTCTTTCCAAACTAGTTTTTTGAACGTCAGGAAAAGAAACAATATCTGATACCCTTTCATATCCTTTAAACTACACCTACAAGAGTATTTTGCCCAAAACAGGTACCTAATAAATAATTGTTAATTTTAGTTTTTTCTTTTTCTTTTTTAGTTTGTGGTCCTTGACCAGCAGTGCTCCGGGCTTATTCCTAGCTCTGAGTCCAGGGATCATGCCTGGCAATGTTCAGGAACCATAAGGGATGCCTTGCATCAAACTCAGGTCAGCTGTGTGCAAGGCAAGCACCCTGCCCACTGTACTGCTGAGGCCCCAATAAGTTATTGTCAATTTCTTACATGTTCTGTGTCTTGCTGCTGGTTATCAAATCAGAAATTCTAAACATTTTGGTTCTGATTTCCATTTACCATTTTGGGGTGGTACTTGTCAGTGCCCAGGGTCCACCCCCAGCTTAGTATTCAGGGTTGCACCCAGTGGGTTTCAGGAGACCACGCAATGCTGGACTGAACCCAGAGTTTCCTCATTCAAAACATGTGCTCTAGCCTATTAACTCTCCAACCCCTTAAATACACTGTGAATAGACATTCTTAGTTGGACCAAAAGTGTTGTTGTGATGTAGTTAGCAAAGATGAAATACATTTTCTGTTAATATTCAATATTTTGGGCCTCTATTGTATGTGTATATTAGAGAACTTCTTAAGTGACTTATTTCTCCTGGTTAATGGCATATTAGGTTTTAAAATGAATGTTTTATCAACTATTAAAGTATTTTGTAAATGGTATTTATGATAGTTTGGAATATGTTACAAGTCTGATTAAAGTTCACTTTAATTACTCATATGACAGTATCAACAGACTCATACTGTAACTGATGAATAAAAATCATTCTGCATGGCCTGGCCTGTGGTTCAAGTGTTAGAGCAAAAGCCTTGCAAGAGCAAGTCCCTGGGTTCAATCCCCTGCACCACTTCCTCTCCACCCACCACCCAAACACCTCTGGGTAAAGCCCTGGTGGTGCCCAAACATTGTTGGATCTGAGCTCCCTGAGCATACTAGGTGTGACTCCCACCATAATTTTTTAAAAAAATAATTGCAAAGAGCCAGAGAGACAGTACAGCAGGCAGGGCGCTTACCTTGCCTTTGGCTCACCCAGGTTTGATTCCCAGCACCCCATATGGTCCTCTAAGCCCTCCAGGAGTGATTCATGAGCAGAGAAACAGAAGTAAGCCCATAGCATGGCCAGGTAGAGCCCCCTAGTGAAAACTTTTTTTTTTTTTAATAAATAATTGCAATGGCTGGAGAAACAGTACAGAGGATAAGGGGGCACACAATCAATTTCAGTTTGATCCCCAAAACCACGTCCCTGAGCCTTTATGGGGGCAGCTCTCGAAGCACTCCCCCCATACACACACACACACACACACACACACACACACACACACTGGACTGGCCTGGGTGATTACCACGCAGATCTCAGATCTAAGCAGCAACACATCCTCTGGCCTAGACTGAACTGCCAGCCTAGGTGAAGAACTGTATCCAGAAATTTCCTGAGGGAGTGTGCAAATGATTACACATTGTAATATGTGCCAATTAACTATCAGTCTGTGGGACAAGAAAATGCAGCGCACAGGAGACTTGACTATGTTAAAAAAAAAAATCCAAGTTAAAGACTTGAAGAATTGCTTTAATACTTACAGATTTTCCTTCCGCCCAAATGACGGCCCCCACTCCTGTTTTATGATCCTCTGAAAGATAAATGGTACGTGACTCGATTAAAAAAAGCAACGATCTGCTCATTTCAAGAACGTTTTCCCCAAGTTAACAAAAATATATTAAAAAAAAACATAATGTAGGAATTCCTGACTGCTTTGCTAATTACAGGAAAACATTCAAATGAACACCTTTAAGCATGGAATATGGGAACTAGGTTATCACTGACAGTGGCACTGCCCAATCACTCATGACCTCTACGTGGAAATCATTAAATGACAGTGCCCCAAGTAAGATTCTCATACCGCTGCTTCTCATCAATAGGTCAACTTCTAGGTTATGTTTCTAAAGGATGATGGAACTGACTGGAATAAAAAGTTTCTCAACTACTGGATATGATATTACTATTCACAATAATCATATTTGTCTTCAAATTTAGTCAATTTTTTTTCGGTTAAGACAATTTTTTAAATGATGTTGCTGTAGTCTCAGGAACATTTTTGTTTTAGTTTGGGGATAGACTAAACTTTGTCAGGATGGGGAAAAATGTGATTTTTTTTTTCCATCAGGATGTGGCTCTACTGCTTTGCTCAAGTTAGTTACAGGAGTCTCGTCTCCGTTATGTCTTTTTTAGAACCAGAATAGAATGTCATCAGTGTTTGATGGAGCAGATTTCACCTAGCCCCACAGCTAGATGGTAAATGAGGTCTTTTCTCAACAATTTTTTCCTGTCTGTAATTTTGTCATCCCTCCACTCCCCTGTGATCTGATCGTTCAGAGGGATTTTTCTTGTCCATCTTTGAAGGTAATGTCACTTTATAACCATTGAGCCAATTCCTGAGATTCAAAGTCAGAGAACTCAACTGATGGTTCTACGACACAGGCATGTTCTCAATTCCACCGCCGGTCAGGCTCTGTCCTAGGATGGCTCCAGGACACTTGCACCAAAACCACTGGACACTTGGCCAAAAAGGCAGACTTCTGGCTCGGAAGGAGACTCTCTAAATTAGCCTCTTCAGTGAGGTGGGCCAGGCACTGGAATGTGCGTTTCCCACAAACATCCATTCCAATTTGCTGCACACTCTCACTTGCTAACAATCCAGTCATGATTTCAAACAGGTTACTTCAACCTCCTTCCAACAGTGTTGAGCTGAGGAGAAAGCCTAACATCCAGCTTAGAGCTATAAAAAACAGGATCAAAAGACACAGAAATACCCAGAAACCAGAAAGAGAATTCATATCCTCCTAACTCCTTTCTCCCCATAATCTAAACGAATTTCTTCATGTTTTTTTTTTGTCTACCTCAAAATAGTGGGTGCTTTACTCATCATTCAGAAATTAATTATTAAACACCTTTCAATTTTTTGTATGAGTATAAGGAGTCTTCAGATTCATTTTGTTTGATGTTTAGGTCACATCTGGAGGTGCCCAGGGGCTTCTCCAGGAGGGTGGTGGGTGCAGTCCCAGAGAATGAGCCTCCTGCTCTCAGGCATGTGCTCTGGCCTGTTGAGCTCCCAGAATTCCTCCGAACCTTATGCCTAATTTTTCAATAAAATGATTTGAGGGGTTACTTTTTTTCAACTATCAATACAGTAAAGTTATCAACTCAAACTAAATAGTATGAGTGAAATGCCTGAGTTATTGGAAGAACATTTCTGGCCATGGAAGTGACCTTGCCAGTATCCTCTTTTTTGGAGGTGTCAGGAAGTGAACTTGAGACCCTATGGGTGCAAGGCAAGAGGCCAGCCTCGACTGTGCTCAGGGTAAGTGGGACATGATTGTGAGTCACCTAGCCATGTGCCTGACACAGCAGGTGTTCAGGACTTATTGCACAGCTTACACCAGTGAAGTATACAGGTATGTACTTCCTTATCTGGAATCCCTTGTATGGAGTTTTCTTGGGCTTTTGGGCAATATGATGTATCTATTTTGTGGTCATACTGGACAACATATTAAGTGTATATATTCATATTTTTTCCTCCATCTATATAAATGTATTTGATTACAAAGAACTACCGAAATTCTCCGGAAGTGTTGTAGAATATCTAATAATTGCTTTTTAAAATACAAACAATTCTGGATTCCTTTCCATTTGGTTCCAAGGGTTTTGGCACATTTATGGTTTTTCTTTATCCACTCAGTGAAAAGAAGAAAATGGCACATTTATGGTTCTTCTTTATCCACTCAGTGAAAAGAAGAAACTGGCGAAGGCTTGGGCTCACCCCAAGCAGGGCAGAAAAGTACATGGTAACATGGAGTGGCACTGCCTAAGGGGTTCGAATTCCTGACAAAGTCATCATAGTAAAAAAATTATCAAGTGCAAAAGCACGACCTTGTGCACAAAACTGTGAGGCAACAATGGCTAAATTAGAGATCTTTAAAGAACAGATGGGCGCATTTATTACATGACTTGAAACATCAGCGTCACACATGGTGTGATAACATGTTGTATAAGGTTCTGAGTGCAAGTGTAAGAAGAGCAGGTTCACATCTCCCAGATTAACACTCATGCTGGAATCTGCATTACAACTAGCTAAGGGAAATTTCTAAATTATAGTTACTTATTGAATAAGCCACAGCTGCTGTCACTTAAGTTTCTCCTTCCATAATGGTTGGAGGAAAATCCCTTTAAGAAAGCTGGTTTTGGCAAACGGACTAATGTATATGAAGTCCACAGTCTGAGATAATTACATGAGTGCAGACTTTTATACAACACAGTTGTTTGGAGTCATAGAGCAAGTGGCAGTAGCAGAACCAAAGTATCTAAGTGTCTCTGCTGTGCGGCCAGTGAGAACATTCCCTCCACTGATACTACTTCAACCTGGAGTCTGTCTGTAGCACATACTGCTTATGATGTAGCATACACCTCTTCACGTGTATAGACCTTTGCTGAAAGAATGATTTTCTCTTCTTTCTTGGGATGAATTTTTTTTTAATTCTATTATAAAAAACCTTCACTCAATTATTTTGTTCTTTTATTTTTTTTATTTTTATTTTTTTGCTTTTTGGGTCACACCCGGCGATGCATAGGGGTTACTCCTGGCTCTGCACTCAGGAGTTATGCCTGACAGTGTTCAGGGGACCATATGGGATGCTGGGAGTTGAACCCAGGTTGGCTGCGTGCAAGGCACACACCCTACCTGCTGTACTATCTCTCCAGCCCCAGTTCTTTTATTTTTTTTTAGTGGGAGGAGACACCTTCATTTTCGAGTTGCATTTTTAAAAGTGATCGGCGCTCTACATTGAAAAATATTGTGCTTTTATGAACTCTACCACTGATGAGACAAATACAACCCCGCCAATCCATCCCAGTTTATCAACTAAGCATATAACTCACCAGTTCGATACGCCAATAACCTGGCCTGAACCATGCAGTGCCTCGCAATTTCTTGTGGCAAACTTTGATTGTGAATTTCATTAATCTGCTCGGTATTGACACAGTAAAATCCGTAGTGTTTATAGTTGGGCACACTGGAAGCTACTGTGGCCAAAAGTAGGACAAGGTCTTTCATGCTTTGCCTCAGATTGCTAAAGTATGGATTTTCACACAGGTTCTCCAAACCTATAGTCATCAGTATTTGTTTATGCATTTCTTCATTTGAAACCAAAAATAACATTTCATACTCTTTTATTCTTTCTTGTTTACATTCAGAATAAAAGTCAACGTTAGCATCCGGTAGTGTTTTTGCAATTTTTTGAATAAAGTCACATTTGTAAGAGGTCTCCTCTACAAACTGCACCATGTAACACACCAAAGGCTGCAGTAAGACACACACATGGGCCCGACTGTTTGACTTCAGTCTTTCCACTGCTTTAGCATCTAACTTTGCATCTTCGGAACTGGAAGCCTCGGTAAGCAAACTTATTTCTGGATCAGCAGGCCAGTATGAAATTCGGTTAACACCAGCTGAAATTTTTAAGAAAAAGGTAGTTATCAGATACATGCTGATAATAAATTTTTAATAAATCAACCATATCCTTGATGTTGATTTAAAGTCCAAATATAATAAAGATCTATTACCAAGTCACCTATAATGCAAGTCATCTAGCTCTGTCACCAGAGGATGTCAGCCAGAGGATGGCAAATTATGTCCCTAGGTCAAATTTGGGCTGGAGTGATAGCACAGGGGGTAGGGTGTTTGCCTTGCATGCAGCTGTCCTGACTGACCCGGGTTTGATTCCTTCGCCCCTCTCGGAGAGCCTAGCAAGCTACTTAGAGTATTTCATCCACACGGTAAAGCCTGGCAAGCTACACGTGACATAATCAATATGCCAAACACAGTAACAACAAGTCTCACAATGCAGACGTTGAGACGTTACTGGGCCTGCTCGAGCAAATCAATGAACAACGGGAGGACAGTGCTACAGGTCAAATTTAGTCCATTCTCTGTTTCTGCACAGCTTCTAGTTAATAACAGATTTCAGTTCTAAATATTTGGAAAAATCAAAAATAGCTATTTTGCAACACATGGAAAGAATATAAAATCCAAATTTCTGTGTCTGTAAAGCAAGTTTGATAGGAACAGATTCGCCCAACCATTCCCTAGAAGGCGAGAGGATGAAGAGCGGAGTAGCTATGCAGACACCACATGGAGTGCACAGCTGATACATTGACCCGCTAGAGTCCTTGAGAAGATAAGTTTGCCACGTCCTTACAAAGCTCATGGAAGCTCTTTGTTACCATGGAAGATATTTTTGATGGCTTCTACTGGCTTTGCTATGAGTGATCCCAAAGCCTAGAGCTGAGACTGGACCAGAGTCTTACAAGTAATGAAATGATGGTTTTTGGAATGGTCAGAACTGACAACTGATACTATTTAGAATTTCTTTTAAAAATCTTTTGCACTTGAGAAATTTTCATGTGAGAAATTTTTATTCCATCCCAGATTATATAGGTTTTGTAAAACAGGTATACAAGTCAAACATTTATTGCTAATAAATCACAAGGAAATCTATTTTCAAACCATCCCCATATTGAATACAGTCCTATATGGGGTTGCAGGCCACTGTTTAGGTTAGGGTCTAGAGCAGCTTCCCAGATAGGCAATATAGTCCCTACGGTGGGGCAGGAGCGGGGTGGCCTAGAATGATTCAAGCAGGCATTGTAGCCTCAGAGACAACTGGTTTGGGGCACTTCAACTAGGGAATCCAACTGATGTTCTTTTTTTTTTTTTGGAAAATGGTGCAGTAGGCCTAATAAGTTTGGGAACCTCTCACAGAGTTTTGTGTCTAAATAACTCACTGCTGCATTAAGGATGTATCTGTGCTCTGAATCGTTTCTCTAGGAAGCTATTATAAGAAAACATTCTAAATAGAGACCAAAAACATTGACACATAAATTTATTTACAGCAGTGTTGTTTAAAATATAAAAACATAGTGGGGAAAAAGTCAAATGGGGGAAATGGCTGAACAAGTTATAATCCTCCTCATAATCAAATAGTATTTATTTATCCAAAATGTCTTTAAAAATGTGAAAAGAGCAGTGGAGGAGTGGTAGTGGCAGAAGAAATATTAATTATCTAAGAACACAATTAAAAATAAAACAGCAAATTAGAAGGAACATTTTCAATTATTGCAACAGAGGAAAAATTAGTAACTTTTAACATATAAAAATATTTTCATTTATTAAGAGCACATATGAATTGACAGTTTCAAGGGAGAAAAAGATATGAACAACTTACAAGGGAAAACAAAAACAGGTAAAACATATTTTTAAAAAACATTTAATTTGTATTTGGGATTGAATGAGATGGCTTACAGAGTGTTAAACAAGTTTTCCAATTAGTATTTTACAACATACAGTTGCCTTTGCTAGTATCTCATGTAATTTCAGGCAGGAGAGACTTTTTTAATGATTGTGCTCAGAAATGAAAGAAATCTGGTCCACAGGGTGTTCTGCATTCAAAGAAACAGAAGAACCAAAACGTCTTCTTTGAACAAGCATACATCTCTATTTACTCTGGCTGACTTTGTGTGGCTTGCGCTGCAAGAATCAATGTTTAAAGACCCAAAGCTAATATCAAAATGTTTCCTCTGGTTGTATTTCATCTTTCATCTGTTGAGAAGGAAAGCCATTTCCTATGATACCCAATCTTTCATTTAAGCATTCTGATTTGAGAGGGGACGAATAATCTTTAGAAAAAAAAAAAGTTTGTGTACTACTAGCAAATGTTACAGAGGCTCTCAAATATTTTAGTTTATTGAGTCATAATTTTTTTTTCTTTTTGGGTCACATCAGGTGATACAGGGGTTACTCCTAGCTCTGCACTCAGGAATTACTCCTGGTGGTGCTTGTGGGGAACATATGATGCTGGGGATTGAACCTGGGTCGGCTGTATGCAAGGCAAATGCCCCCCACACTGCATCATCGCTACAGCCCCAAGAGTCATAAAATATTAATAAGGACCCAAAGAGTTTTTGTTCATTTGATTTATATTTAATAATACTAAAGGTTATTGGAAAATTGAAACAAAAAATTAAATATTTATTTATACATAACAGTTTACAAAGTATATTTTTCAAAACAACAGCAAAAACTAGTTGAGACAAATCACACTGTTTTAGAGTCTTACAAATTTATTATCTGGATTAATAGATGTCAGCCAGATTCTCAAATCTGCTTCTGCTTACAAAACTTGATTATTCTAGTTAGGTAACATGTTGACAGCAGTATTGCTGTAGGACTGTGATGTACAGTTATCACACCTCATCAGCACCAAAGTGCCAAGGCTTTCCACCAATGCCCTACTCGCATTTTCTGTCCCCTCATCACTGCCCTCCTCCTTCCCTGCTTAAGAACCTCAGTTGTAGTATACGGAAAGCATCTGATCTCAGAGAAATAAATGCACTTGTCTTCAACTCTGGTTTGGGGGCCACACCCAGCAGTGCTTGGGGTGATGTGCTTCTTACCAACACTCAGTTTAAGTCTCAGGTTTTCATGACCTATGGTGATCGCTATTTCCTCTTTGAGCTCATTTATTATTCTCTCGCCTGTATCACTCATTTTTACACTGCTATTTTTGGCCTTCAGATCCTTGAGGGAAAGGATAAAGAACAATGTTAGTCTGCCTCTCCTCCCTCTAAGTTCTCGGAAACTGTCCCTTTGGTTTTTAAAAATAGGGCCAAAGCCACTGTTGGGGACAGTCTGGGGCGTAGCATGTGCTTCCCACCACTTGGGTGTTTTGGGGGGCCCAGGGATTGGGGTGCTCAGGGCTTCCTGCTGGCTCCGTGTTCTCTGTGGCTTAGGGATCACTTGAGAGTGAGGCTAGGAGGACCATACGGGGTGGTGGGGACCAAACAGGATTGGGTGCATGCAACGCTCCCTGGCCCCTGTATTCCACTACTTGACCAATATCCACTCTCCGTCATTTTGAGTTTGTAGGGAGGTTTCATGACATGATGATATCACTGACTAGTGATAATGTGAGCTCCAATTCTAGCTCTGCTGTTTTTCTCAGAGGTGCAGAAAGGTGAGCTATAAGTTCCCACTCTAATTTTCTAGTGGTTTACCAAAGTAACTAGCTTCCATCCTTAGGATTTTCCAGCAAGTACCTCAGGTGTGATGGAGAGATGTTATTATGAAAAACGAGAGAGCATCTTTATTGTTCTTACTGTGCAGGGAATTCTAAGGGGATCAATTGCTCTGTGTCAGGAAACGGGTGAAGGCCAAATATATATTTCACATTGTAAATCCCAGTATCACAATAAATCACAGCTTCTAAGAAGATTTTTGTTTGTTTGGATTGGGCCGGGCTGGAGTGATAGCACAGCAGGTAGGGTGTTTGCCTTGCAAGCGGCCGACCCGGGTTCAATTCCTCCGTTCCTCTCAGAGAGCCCAGCAAATTACTAAGAGTATCCCGCCCGCACGGCGAAGCCTGGCAAGTTACCTGTGACATATTCAATATGCCAAAAACAGTAACAAGTCTCACAATGGAGATGTTACCGGTGCCCACTCGAGCAAATCGATGAACAACGGGAGGACAGTGCTACAGTGGATTGGGCCACACCTAGCAATGCTCAAGGAACCATACGTAGTACTAGGTTTCAAATTGGGATAGGCCACAAGCACAGTAAGTGCCTACCCTGTATACTGTTTGTTTGGCCAGAAGTTTCACAGAAGTATTTTTTTTAAACTACAGTTTAGGAAATTATATTAATGTTAAAACTTATGGTATTGATTACAAACTACTACATAGTACCACAACCAAAAATGTCCACAACCCTCTGTTACCATATGTCCTTTTTTTTTTCCTTTTTGGGTCACTCCCAGTGATGTTCTAGGGTTATTCCTGGCTCACGCACTCAGAAATTACTCCTGGCAGTGTTGGGGGTACCATATGGGATGCTGGGAATCGAACCTGGGTTTTCTGTGTGTAAGACAAACACCCTTTCTACTATAATATCACTCCAGCCCCTCTTTTTCTTTGTTTTTCTTGTTTTCTTTTTGGGTCACACCTGGCGATGCACAGGGGTCACTCCTGGCTCTGCACTCAGGAATCACTCCCATATGGGGAGCCATATGGGTTGCTGGGAATTGAACCCGGATCAGCTGCGTGCAAGGTAAACGCCCGATGTGCTATCCCTCTAACCCCTCCATATGTCTTTAATGGAAAAATAGTGTGTACACTTACTGGGTCACAAAACAGAATCTTAAGAGCACAGAGGTTACAGAGAACGGTGGTGCAACAGAGATCAGAGTTATAGAGGAATGATTTGTGTTACACTTCCAAAGCATAGGCAAGCCACTGGAAGACCACTGCCAGCCAGTTCCCAGGAAGGAAGTGAACAGAAACAATGCCTTTTCTATCTTTTGTTTTTTGGGTCACACCTGGCTATGCTTATACCTGCTCTTGTGCTCAGGGATCACCCCTGGTAGACTCAAGGAGATCGAGCCTGGGTCAGCTGCACGCAAGTCAAATACCTTACCCACCGTACTATCTTGCCAGCCCCAACAACTACAATTTCAACTCTCCCTGAAACGGGCTTCTAGTTCAGCCTTGGATCTCCCTACCAGGACAATGTTGGAAAACGGGATGAGAGCCCATCTCTCCTAGAGGAAAGTACATGACAGCAACTAACCTGCATTTCTATCTGGAAATGCTGCCTCAGGTAGGGCCAGAACGGAATACAATTTTGCTCAAACAAACTCTTAAATTTTTAATACACCCCAGTTTCCTCTTTCAGCAGCAGGTAAGCACTGGTCCACAAATACACTAGGATTTGTGAAGTAGATCATGAGAGAGATCAAAAATCCAAACTTCCCTTTTTTCCTTCCACTGTCACTGTCCTTCGACGCGTATGTGTGTCTTTAGCACTTCTGTGGCAGGTAGACAACTGACCACCAGTGACCGTAATGGATCAGTGGTATCAATCTCCCGTTAAGCTTTACCAGCACTTACCATTTACAACCATTTTCAAACATGCAGAACATGGTTTTCGGGAAAAATAAAGATCACAGTTTTTCAACCGTGACCCATGTTTAATAAGAGCAATTTTCCCGGCATGTAATTCTTCACTAGAACAGTGGAGACCAACAATTTTCATGTTTTTCACCACCACAAGACCAGCTTTCTTCACCTACATTAAGAAATAAAACAATAATTAGTTATAACTAATGATAAGATTCATGATGATAAGATACATGATTCATTAAGAAAATGTTTGCTTAGTTCTTTATCTAACACACTGGAAATATCTAGCACACTGAATATTTTTTCACTAGATGAAAAACATTTCAGAGAATCTGCTATTGAATTTGTACCAGAAATTTTCTGTATCTATACCTAAGATTTATATTTGAATTTTCTGTGCTCTTAACCCATAAAAGCATTTAATTATTAATAATTTATCCTTGTGAAAATTGATATTAAACAAAATCCTAAGCTATCTCACAAGTTTCTAATAGCATCTTATTTAGGATTAGCTTTTCATTTTTTAAGACTAGTTTTAAACTTCAAAGCGGTAAAGTGTGGAGTGCAAGAGCAATAGTACAGCGGGTAGGGTTTTTGCCTTGCATGGGGCCAACCTGGTTTAATTCCCAGAATCCCATATGGTTCCTGGGGCACCATCAGAAGTAATTCCTAAGTGCAGAGCCAGGAGTAACCCCTGAGCAGCACTGGGTGCAGCCCAAAAAAAAAAAAAAAAAAAGTATAATGAGGGAAAATCTGGAAAAGACTCTGATTTTACAATGATCAAGTAAAGCCGAGAGAGTTTACGTGACTTTCTGAAAAACCACATATGATAAAAGACAGACTAAAATTGAGATCATCTTAACTCTTTTATTCATTTAAATTCCATCTAAAGTGGGGTATGGTGCCGTCAGGTCAATCTGTACCTGTGAGGAAAGTGTATCAGCAGCCTGATGATGCCTTCAGACTTCTAGATACCCCAAAATTGCTGCTATGCCTTTGGTCAGACCCCAAACTTGGGTATAAGTTTACCAAGAAAGTAAATGGCCAAAAGTTAGGTATGTGGGAGACACACCAAACTTGGCCAAACTTGGGGCTAAGTTTACCAAGAAAGTAAATGGCCAAAAGTTAGGTATGTGGGAGACACACCCACAAACCACCTCCGGCTCAGCTATATAATTGGAGGCAAGGCCTCTCAGTTCCTGATCAAACTGCTTAATGGCCATGATCCCAGAGACTCAGAAACAAATACCGGAAACCAACGGCTTTTGGCAGAAATGCATTTGGTCCCCACAGTAGGTTACAGGCGTTGGGCCACCCTGGTGGGAATAGATTTCGTGCCTTGGCCTGTTCCCCCTGGCGGCTTGGTGGCCGCCATCTTCCAGAGGCCATTGGACAGTCAGGTTTGGGCCCGGAGTGATGAGACACGCATGGCCTCACAGGATGGGGGTGGAACCCGCCCTGCCCCAATGAGGCCCTGAGTTGCCGCCCACAAATGGCCTCTCTGGCTCCGGATCAAGCTGCTCAGTAGCCGTGATCCAAGAGACTTAGAAACAAACCTCAGAACCCAGCAGGTTTTGGCAACAATCCCTCCAGATTTAATTGTCAAAATTTTGGAATTCCGAAATTGAGCGGCCACTACTGCGGACACGCAACATCATATGTTATTCATAATCAGCAATAGAAAACAAATTGTCTACAGTTGCCTTTTCGGCAACTTCATCTGCCCCACAGGTAGGGGGAGGGTGTGGGATGGAGGGTATATTGGGGTTTTTGGTGGTGGAGAATGGGCACTGGTGAAGGGATGGGTGTTTCATCATTGTATGACCGAGACTTAAACCTGAAAGCTTTGTAACTGCTGTCACGGTGATTCAATAAATAAATTTATAAAAAGGAAAAAAAAAAGTAAGGTGGAGTTTATGCCCAATTCAATCAGCCTAAATAATGACTGAGTAAGAGCAATACTCCTACAATAAAAAGAATATTTAAAAAAAATTTTTAAAAATTCCATCTAAAATAAAGGTAGATCTCAACTTTTTTTCATAAAACTGGCTCTACCCATGTTTAAAAGGATGGTGGAATGACTAGAAGGTTATAATCAATTATAAAATAAGTTCTATGATTATAAAAGAACACATAAACTTTATACAAAAATGTACATTATTTATACCAAATAAAACATTCCTAAGTGCATTGTCAAATTCAAAATAAAGATGTCATCCCCTCGGGTATGAGGAAGAAAGAAAAATCAAAGCTAGAGCAGTAAGCTTGAGCACTGATCAACAGGTAAACGCAGAGTGTCTGCAAGAGGTTGCGCTGACCATGCTGTAAGCCTGGAAGCTGGGCACTGCAGAAGTTGTAAAAAGTTGCTAACTTGTTACTCGGGGGACCAGAGAGAGAGCCCAATGGGCAACACACACTGTGCAAGTGGGAGGCCAGCACCTCATGGTCCCACAACAAAAAGAAAAACAAAAGACACCCCCCAAAAAGCCACTTTAATCCTAACGTGTCCCGAACTTATACAACATTAATCAGAAAAGCTGGTATAATAATATCAGCATTAGATAAAGTGCTCCAAACTAAAAATCGGTTGTATGTCAGTCTCAGGATGCACTGCTTTGCATCAAGATCCTGAAATGTAAACCCGAATCTTGAGTTCAGCACTAACTGTTAAAATGCAACCTAGGCTGAGAGCCCCGTATCCATCATTCCATTACTAGACACTTCTCCCCAGCAGAACACACTTGATACCACAAAAGATCAGATCAAAGCCTAGTATAACAGACAGAATACTTGTCTCAACTTCAATTTCGAGTAAACAGGTTTAAACTATGGAGAATGATACCTTGTGAAATGCCTTTAAAAAAAAAAGATGTCACTCATTCTTTTTCACAGTTAACAAAGTAAATTAAAAAATCCCCTTTATAACTATCCAAAACTATATTCAAAGGGATCTATTTGTACTGGCTTTAAGAATGTTTTCAATTTGCTCTTAAACTTTACCTTCCCAATTGTAAAATTTCTTAAGAGCTTTACGCTCCTGAAATATAAAGAACAATGTATGCAAGCACCTACTTTATATATTTTGGACAAGTTCTTAAAAAAAACAAAAAGCCCCCCAAAAAACTGTCATCCTGGAAGGGCTCAGCGCAGAAGAACTCATTTTATTAAACTCAACAAACTGTCATTAAACAAGTTCAGCTTTAGATTTTCTAAGTAGTTCAGGAGACAGAAATAAAGTCAGAAATCTTGATCATTAAAGATTTAAAAACACTGTTCCTAGTAAATGAGAAGCATATTCATCAATTTCTTTTTTATTAGAACAATCTGTTAGAACATGTTTATTATTATTTTTTTTTTTGCCTAGGGTTTTCTTTTTTTTTTGGCTTTTTGGGTCACACCCGGCAATGCACAGGGGCTACTCCTGGTTCTGCACTCAGGAATTATTCCTGGCAGTGCTCGGGGGACTATATGGGATGCTGGGAATTGAACACAGGTGGGCAAAGCAAATGCCCTACCAACTGTACTATCACTCCAGTCCCTGCCTAGAGTTTTTTAATTTCAGAAAAATATATATATATATATATAAATATAAAATACATGTACTTTTTAACTGTTTCTAAGGCCAAAATGAGAAATTTGAGACAAAATTTTTTTCTATCCCAAACTCAAAACAAAATATGGCAGATAAAAGTCTAAGTTGCATTCCATTGCAGTGCTCCCACTTATTCCCAGAGGACTGAATCATTCCAGTGAATAAATTCTGCTTCAGTTCACTAGAACACAGCAATCATCTCTGTAATCCTAGTCACAGACTCTTATATAAAAATACAGGCAAAGCAGCCAGAGCCATAGTACAGTGGGTAGGGTGTTGGCCCTGCACACGGCCGACCCAGGTTTGGTCCCTGGCATCCCATACAGTCCCCTGAGCACCACCAGGAGTGATTTCTTAGTGCAGAGTCAGGAGTAACCCCTGAGCATCACCAAGTGTGACCCAAAAAGCCAAAAAAAAAAAAAAAACCCAAAACCAAAAAAACAGGCAAAGAGGTTAGTCTATTTTGCAGATTGTTTTTCTTCTTCCCCTCTTTCATTGTGTTTGTTTTCTGGGCCACATCTGGGCTGTTTGGAGGCTATTCCCTACAGTGCTCCAGGGGACCATGTAACTAAAGCGATGGAACTGGCACTCAGCCCTGTTAAGTCATCTCTACCTTTCTCACCCTTTGCCTCTCTGATAATTAAAATCACCGAAACATTCTGAGGCCTATTGTTTCGATACTCATGCCAGACATTTTATTCATTTATTTTGGCAGTCATACCCAGCAAAGCTCAGGGCTTACTCAGGTTCTGCACTCAGGAACCACTCTTAGTAGTGCTTGGGGAACCATATGAGATGCTGGGGAGCAAATTTGGGGTCAGCCACATGCAAGGCAAATGTCCTCCCCATTGTATACATTTCAGCCCGTTGGTGGACATTTTAGAGATCCACCCTCAGAAAAATGAGAAAATCTCCAGGAATATCATCAGTCACCAAGGCCCCTTTTCCAAAATACACGTTTATAATCTCTACTCCATATTCAGTGAATAGGCAGCTCTAGAAAACTTGAAAGATAAAGAGAATAAGGAAACACTGCAATATTTAAAAAAAGAACAAAGTTCAACTGTCAGCTCTGGGTTTTGATTTTACCCTACTCTCAAGTTACTAAATTCCCTGCTACCATTGCATTGATGGTAGAAGATGTGACACAGATGGGTGGGAGAAAATGATTTTATTAGAGCACAGCACAGCAGTAAATCTGTGATGGTTCCCTAGCTCACAAGTCCCACAGCACTGGTGGATTCCTAAATAGGAAGTGGGCTATAGAAAAGGTATGGAAACCAGGCTTAAGGATTCCACTGTTTCACTGCAAACAGTAAGCAAATCTCTTCATTTCAGAAAGATACATTACCTCAATTCTCAAGGTTTCCTGCTGCCAAAAACAAGACTACAAAATGGTCAAAATCAGCATTCGTCAACCTTTTCTCACTCAACACCTGTCTCGCACATACTGGTTCAGGACTAGCAGTTATAACCAAGGTAGGAGACCCATGGTTTCCAACCATTCTATGCCCAAGAACAAGCAGCAGTTCATGGAGTGTTCGCCAAAAACTGCTGGTCTAAGTGCAAGATAGGGTTGAACATTCTTTTTTTTTTTTTTTTTTTTTTTTTTTTTTTTTTTTTTTTGCTTTTTGGGTCACACCCGGCAATGCACAGGGGTCACTCTTGGCTTTGCACTCAGGAATTACCCCTGGCAGTGCTCAGGGGACCATATGGGATGCTGGGAATAGAACCCACATTTAGCCGCGTGCAAGGCAAACGCCCTACCCGCTGTGCTATTGCTCCAGCCCCAGGGTTGAGCATTCTTGACAAAACCAGTCAAATGTTCTGGATTTAAAGAGAAGTGTGAAAAAAGAGCTTTCTGTCAATGCCATTTATATAAACTATTATAAAAAAAAAGTTGGTATTATGAGTTAATTTTTTTAAGGCAAGATATAGAAGAAAATTATAAAATAACCCCACTGAAAAGATACCTAGTTTTGGAATTATGCAAAAATTTTGAGAAACAATTCCCCTGGTAAAGGAAATACAGAACTTGAGTACAAGATGGACTTTTAGTCTACTTTTTATCACTGTTACTGATTTGTTATTATAAGTATCTGGTTGTTTAGAAACCACAAAACTTCACCTGTTTTTGATCAGAAGATACTCTGGCTGTCTCTTCATTATCTTCTAAGGGTCCATGATTTTCTGCTTCTTTTTCCTAATAAAAAGCAGATCAAAGGGTCAGGGAGAAATGAGCACAAAAGACATATGATTTCCTGTTTAAAAAGTAGGTTTTTTTTTTTTTTTTTTTTTGCCTTTTTGAGTCACACCCGGCGATGCTCAGAGGTTACTCCTAGCTCTGCACTAAGGAATTACCCCTGGCGGTGCTCAAGGGACCATATAGGATGATGGGAACCGAACCCGGTTCGGTCGCGTGCAAGGCAAACACCCTACTCACTGTGCTATAGCTCCATCCCCAAAAACTAGTTTTCTTTTTTTTTCCAATTTTTATTAGTGAAACACCATGAGGTACAGTTGTAGACTTACAAATTTTTGTGTTTGGGTTTCAGTTATACAATGATCCCAGTACCCATCCCTCCACCAGTGCCCATTCTCCATCATTTACATTTTTTAAGAAATTTTTGTTAGTGAAACACCATGAGGTACAGTTGTAGATTTACAAATTTTTGTGCTTGGGTTTCAATTGTACAATGATCAAACACCCATCCCTCCACCAGTGCCCATTTTTCACCACCACAGGTCCCAGTATCCCTACCACCCCCCATCCCTCCGTCCCACCCTGCCTCTGTGGCAGGGTATTCCCTTTTGTTCTCTCTCTCCTTTTGGGTGTTGTGGTTTGCAAAAGAGGCACTGAGTGGCAATCGTGTTTGGTCTGTAGTCTACTTTCAGCATGCTTCTCCCATCCTGGGAGGATCCTCCCAACACCCTTTATTTGGTGCTCCCTTCTCTATCTGAGCTGCCTTTTCCCCTAGAATGTGTGGATGGCCTCCAAGCCATGAAGCAAAACTCCTGGTACTAATCTCAGCCACTCTTGGGGGTTAGTCTCCTATTTTGTTACTTTATGTTCCCCAGATGAATGCAATCTTTCTATGTCTATCCCTCTCTTTCTGACTCATGTCACTTAACATGATACTTTCCATATAGTACCACTTGTATGTGGGCTGGAGCGATAGCACAGCAGTAGGGCGTTTGCCTTGCACACAGCCAATATGGTCGACCTGAGTTCGATTCCTTCGCCCCTCTCGGAGAGCCTGGCAAGCTACCGAGAGTATCTCGCCCGCATGGCAAAGCCTGGCAAGCTCCCCGTGACGTATTCGATATGCCAAATACAGTAACAAGTGTCACAATGGAGACACTATTGGGCCCGTTTGAGCAAATTGATGAACAACAGGAGGACCGTGACTTGACTGTGACCACTTGTATGTAAATTTCATGACTTCATCTTTTCTAACAGCTACATAGTACTCCATTGTGTAGATGTACCAAAGTTTCTTTAACCAGTCATCTGTTCTCGGGCACTGGAATGCCGACTGGTTCAGCCCTTCTGGAAAACAGTATGGACAATTCTCAAAAAATTAGGAATCGAGTTCCCATTTGACCCAGCAATACCACTCCTGGGAATATATCCCAGAGAGGCAAAAAAAGTATAGTCGAAGTGACATCTGCACTTGTTTGTTCAAAACTAGTTTTCTTAGCACTGTAGCACTGTCCTCCCGTTGTTCATCAATTTGCTCGAAAGGGCCCAGTAATGTCTCCATTTTGAGACTTGTTACTGTGTTTGGCAAATTGAATACGTCACGGGTAGCTTGCCAGGCTATGCCGTGCGGGCAAGATACTCTCGGTAGCTTGCTGGGCTTTCCAAGAGGGGCGGAAGAATCGAACCCAGCTCAGCCTTAAATGTTGAATAATTTTATTTTCATTTATTTATTTATTTATTTAGGTAAAGCCCTGCAATAGTTTCCCACATTGGTCAATTCAGGTTCACAGTGCTTAACCTTTATAATATGATTCCTGCGTAATTTTCCAAAATATAGGACTGGAAAATCTGGAAGTTGTGGTCAGCAAATAAAATTCTGTAGTCTAAAATTTTAGGATTGGGCTGGAGAGATAGTAAAATGGGTAAGGAGCTTGCTCAGAAAATAAATCTGTAGTTTAAGACTTCAGGGTCGTACCAGAGATTTAGTACAATGGACAGACACTTGCTTTGCAGAGAGCTGACCTGGATCAGTCACAGCACCTCATCTGGCCCCCCAAATATCACCAGTATTGACTGATCTCTGTGCAGTCAGGTGTTAGCCAAAAAATCAACTGAACAACCAAACAACAGAAAAAAATTCAGGGTTGGGGCAATTCTGAGCAATAGAGAAGTGTGACCACGGCATGAAGGATGAAGAGAGAATCGAGGTAAATTAACTGGAAATGAAAAGGGACAATGCAGCAAATGGAGTAGACAAGGATTTGTACAAGGCAGAATAATGGTGCTCCAGAGATTCTTCTGTCTCAATATCTGGTACCATGGCTACGTCAATATGACAAGTTGGAATTAAGGGAGCAGACAGAATTAAGACTGCAAATTAGCCAATAATGCGATGGAAAGGTTTATCCCAGTTTATCTGGATGGGCCCCAAATAATCACCAGGATTCTTACAAGTAAATAGTGGAGGGAGGAAAGGTCAGTGGCAGAGTGAGGCAACAGAGAACTGAGCCTGTCATTGCTGGCTGCAAGGAAGGGGAGCATGAGCCAAAAGATGTGGGTGGCTCGGGGAGCTGCAAAAGGCCAGAAACTGATTCTCTCCAGGGGCCTCCAGAAGGGCCAACCCTGCTGACACTGATTTGAGCCCAGGGAGACCCACTTAGACTTTTTTTGGGGGGTCACACCCAGCGATGCTCAGGGGTTACCCCTGGCTCTGCACTCAGGAATTACTCCTGGCAGTGCTCGAGGGACCATATGAGATGCCAGGGATTGAACCCGGGTCAGCCGCGTGTAAGGCAAACGCCATACCCGCTGTGCTATCGCTCCGGCCCCCACTTCAGACTTCTGACACAGAGAACTGCAAGATAATTCATGTGTGCTCTAAGTCACCAACTTTTTAGTAATTTATAACATCAGCAATAGATGACGAGTACTGGGATGTCCATAAGTCTCCTCTTAAAAATAAAACTCCAAGTATAAAATTTTGAGCCAGCAAATAATAAATATCTTATGTATTTTATTATTTGAGGGGACTATCCAGCAAATAATAAATATCTTATGTATTTTATTATTTGAGGGGACTATCCAAGCGGTACTTAGGGGGCCCATGGGTCACTCCCAGACAGGGTCTGAGGGCCCAAGGATGTGGTGTTGCTACAGCCTATAAGAACTAGGGTCCACCAGGGCCACCCTACTGGTGCTTCAGGGTTTGCAAAGCCACAACCATGATGCTCAGGAATAGAATCTGGGTCAAGCCCATGTGCCTGACCCCCATACTATCTCCCCAGTGCCTCTCTCATCATTTATTTGTACAACAAAAAAGGATTTCTATGCACCAGCCAGAGATCTAGTTGCTCAGGCCGCCGTGCCTGGAAAGCTGAGAATTACGAAGACAGGAAAGTGATTCTGGAGAGAGCAGATGACTAACACACGGTGATAGAGCAGAATCCTGCATACCCCAAAGTTGACAGGAAAGGTAGAAACTGAAGAAGGCTACAGAGTGGGAATGGACAATTTTACAAGCGTTGCTCACTTAGTCTCGTAAGTGCTGGGTGCTCAAATGTTAACACCACTATAACTGTGTTAAACCAGAACAGTTTTAATGGAAAAAAGAAACGCAAATTTATAAAAGAAAATAAATTTATAAAGTCTCTAAGATTTTCACAAGACACACCTTGTAGGAATGAGACCTCTGCTTCAGAGGAGGAACGCCAAGGCCGGTAGGGAGAGGGGGTATGGAGGGCGGCAGTGGGGATGGTCAGGATGAGACAATGGGTAATAACAGCATCTCACACTGACCGAGTGCACCAAGCACCTATTAGGTCTCATTTTATTCTCACAACTTTGCAACAGAGCTGTTATTATTCCTATTTTACAAGCAAGGAATCTGTCGCTGAGAAAGATGAAATAAGTTCACCATGAAAAACACATCACTGGAGCCCCAAATCCACTGTCTTATCCACTACGGTACAATGCTTCATCTCAGGGAAAATACAATGAGATTGTTCAGCACGAAAACAAGGTACCAGAAGATACAATAAAAGGGGGAGAGGGTCTTGGGATATGTAGAGAAAAATGAGAGAACAAGGCAGCTATTTTACTTTGGGCTTTGTTTGCTGGTACTTAGGCCACACCCAGCTATGCTCAGGTGGGCCTAAATTACTCCTGGTGGGCTCAGGGGACAATATGGGGTACCAGGGATTGAACACAGGTTGGATTCATGCAAGGCAAGCACCTTACCTGCTGTACTATCTCTCCAACACTCAAGAAATCATGCTAATTCTTATCAAAACAATACAGCTTAGACAAGTCTTAATTACAACAAACAAAATAAATCAACCACGACACTCTGCTTAGGACGGGTGAGGGTTCAAAGGGCTGAAGCCATATAGACCAAACATGACTGCCAGTCAATGCCTCTTTTGCAAACCACAGCACCCGAAAGGAGAGAACAAAAGGGAATGCCCTGCCACAGAGGCAGGGTGGGATGGGGGTGATAAGGGGTGGGAGGGATTCTGGGATCAGTGATGGTGGAAAATGGGCACTGGTGGAGGGATGGGTACTCGATCATTGTATAACTGAAACCCGAGCACAAAAATTTGTAAGTCTACAACTGTACCTCATGGTGTTTCACTAATAAAAATTTAAAAAATGATAATAAAATAAAACAAATTTTGGCACTGTGAAGAAAAAAAAATGAACAAAGGGCTGGAGTCATGCTCTGCAAGAGAGAACCCCAGTTTCAATCCCTAGCACAATATGTTCTCTGAGAACTGCTGGGTGTGGATTCACCCCCCACTACTTGAAGAATGACTATGAATTAGTAACAGAATTACTTTAAAATGACGGCTATTTACAGTAGTACTTGGTTTCTATTCTAAAACTTTGAATTATGTGCTTATAAATACTTTACCTCCCATTAATTTACCCAGTAGCTAGTGTTTCCCTACGTGGCTGAAATCACACCTTGGAGTAGGGGCACTAGACCCATCTGGGCGACAGTT